ATCACTGGATTTGGTAAAATTATCAGGTTATCAGATGAGAAGGAGGAAGAAAGGGTCCCTGGAGCGTCTTTATTATCTGTCTGATGCTCTAAGCTGTTGCATCTACTGCCTTTCTTGTGCTTTTCCGCACGCAGATAGTAGCGTAAAGCCCGTTAAGCTGGCGGGGTAGATGCGCCAGTTAATCGAACCATATCTGTAGTGTAACGGTATGGATTTTGAATTATCCCGACTTGTAATGTTGGTTCCTCGTAAATCGAAGGTATAAACAAGCTGTTTACTGTGCGTTGCGAGTTGGGATTTGTCTTCCTTTTTCGAACTAGTTTTGGAGGGAGTGAGTCTATGGCTTTCATGACATTTTTATGACGTACTTGAAGGTAACTTTTTTACGACTGTTTTCGAAGTCGCAGCTGGTGGTAGTGAATTTTTCTGTTCCATCATATGGGGCAAGTTTGTGGTCGGGTTTGATAGCTCGCGCTTACCCTGAGGCGTGTCAGCATGGGTGTCAACCCTCTGAACTGCTGTTCTGTTGGCTCTGGTGTTTCCTCCCAAACATTTTGCTTTCGTCACGAGGGGGCCACAGCAGTATGGTCGCCCAGATGGGCTGGTTGTGTTGGAGTGTGTTCCCGTCTTTTAAACGTGTTTTCGGCTCAACTGCCTTCGTGGCATAGATGTGACTACTGTTAAAATCCAGCCTTCGCCTAATATCGGTTGCTTTTATGATCCCTAATTGGGTGTCGTAGAGTGAGTCGAAATTCGGGAAAGTGGAACCTGCGCCTTCGCAAATTCGGCGTCCAATCCGCTAGGCAGCGACATAATCAACCTTTTGAATGGTCTTTCATGTACCCACCCAAAAATGCCAGTATCGGAGTTTACGAGAGCAGTTAGTTTGTAGAAATCAACCATCTGCATCCCATCACCACTGCTTATTAGTCAAAACCTCCGTCACCTGACTCAAAACTCTGCTGCATTTTGCACAGAGGTTCGAAACCGAAACCCCTATGTTTTTTTCTCATCGCCACGCTGGGGAGCAGTGCTACCTCCCCAAGCCTTTTGCACTCAGATGACTTTAAACGATTTTGCTGGATGAGCTTTTAGGTTATCTAGTATTACTCATACATACAAAACGTTAGAGAACGTCTTCTGCAACATTTCACATTTCTTTTAATGGGTTTTTGTGTTCCCCGAGTGTCCGTGACCAAATAAAGCATTTAAGAATAAGATTTTAGCTCTCAAGGGGACAGTAGTCTTTATTCGATCGCTGAGGTATTCCGAAGCCGTTTGTGCGCAGAATCTGCACGGATTGAAACCAGAACTAAACGTTTGCCTGCTTTTACCAGTGAAAATGTTTTAAAGGACGGGAATGATAATGCTGACTATCACGAGACAGTCTCGGTCGGAGAACCTGCTTATGGTTTGAGGTCGGCTCAAGAGAATGAAATTTAACCTGAATATTTCGCCTATGCACACGGGGATCGCATATAATCCGACACCCGGTAGCCATAAAACCTTAGTCTTTTTCTTAGCAAGTACACCGTCGGCTATAAAAGGGTGTGAAGAATCAAACGCCAATATTTCTTAACAAAGGTTCGCTTCTTTTTGTATTCGGTTCAGTTGCTCTAGAACCAAACTGCTTTTTTGCATGTCGTAAAATAGTACTCACAAACTAGCCTTCTGATCTGATTAATGGTTACCATCATGGACTTTTGCCGATGTATCGGTTTCATCTTAATGGATATTTTTCCCTCCTTAGCAGAGCCAGGTGAAATGCAACTTTTGCAACGGATTTTACGACTTTGGCAGTGATCAGCCCGTCTGCTCCATCTGCCACGCCTTCGTCTATGACTTCTCCACGGAATCCCTCGACGACGGGTGTTCGGCGAAGGAAAAGGAGGCCTCAAACGACAGCGGAAACGAGGAGCCCGAACGCGTTTCCGACTTCTTCCCGCTAGGCGTCTCGCAGGAGAACCTTTTCCACCGATATTCACCGAACACCACCACCCCTGCCAGCGCACCCGCCCCCTCGTGCGCGTTTCATGCTCCCACGCACCCGCGCCCCTCC